CTCTAAGATTGTAATATTTCAAATATATTCTGCCAGGGTTTAGTATGACATAAAACAAATATAAACAAATATAATTAATATTGCAGCCTTGTTTAAAACATGGAAATGCTTAATGTGGCCTATCGTGCTCTATTTCGCCTCCAAATGACTATCAGAATACAACACTTATATTAGCTGGTTATTATCTGCATCTACTTCATATTTCTGTTCACGTCATTTGAGATCAATTTAAAGACTTACAATTCAAGATATGCGCAAGTATATTTTTTTTCTATCGCAGAAGAACAGTTATCTGTTTATTGGAAGCGAAATTTATATTGGTTTCGTAGTATTAGAAAATAATACAAATCAAACTTGATCTCAAAAAAACTGAAGAACTCATAGCCAGAAAAATTAATGAATTAAATAAGTATAACGAATCGATCGGCCTTTTAAATAAATACTATTTAAAAGGAAGCAAGAAAGTGTTTACAGTAGCAGGCAGTGAAGTAAATTGTTGGATTGCATCCCAGTAGTAAATTCATAATTGAGGGAGGTTCAAGACTCAAAGAGAAATTATTCATTTTCGTATGTAATTTTAGTGAAATCCATGAATTACACGAAGCTAAGATGAGACCTAAACTTAAAACTTATCTGCAACAAGATTCTCGCATGTGTTGAGGCGAAGATTATAAGCAGTAGAAATGTGTCAAGTTTGAGAATTTTGCAATTTTGATGGTCAAATATATCAAAAAACAAGAACACTATATTAATTTAAATCTGCATTCGAGCTTATAGTTTCTACAGCTAAATCATTGTTCAGAATCTCAAATTTAATAGTATTTCATCCATCTAGTATAGTCCTAATCTTATAGGGGAGATTTGCCATGACTATGAATTTAAAAACTTATGGCGTTTGCTCAGCCTATTTTTTAAATTCAATTCTATATGTATTAAAGCGAAATGACTTTGCTTCTATATTCTCTAGATACTGCAATTCAATATTTTTGCAATAACTGATTTCTTTTGATGGGAAACAGCCAAATACAAACAAATTTGTAAAATCGATAAGTAAGATAATACTAACCTTAATTTTAACTTTCTTTTAGCCAGAAGCAAACTATCTAGCAAGATGAACAGCATCTTGAATTTGAAAGAATTTAAATTCGTGATTTTATTCTGATAAAAAATGCTCTTGGCATTCTTGAGTTTAGAACATAATTGGCCTCGATATCATTTTAATAGTTCAAGGGTAGTTTGTGTTTTGACCTCTGAGATTGCCGAGGTTCATGGGCCTTTATTCTTTCAAGTAAATAGCATTAATTCAGCTTTATAAATAAATTATATAAGTCTAATTAAAGTGTTGGCACAGACAAGCATGTCTTATACAGTAAATGCTTTTTGCACCCCTCTGACTTTAAGCATTAATGCAGATCTACAAATATTTTGGTTTTAGATTGAGCATGAGTATGATGGAGATGACGATAGAGGGCCCAGTCCTAAACGTGGAAGGTCTAACGTTACGAACATTTCTCTATCTAGAGTGAGTCGGCCTAAATCTTTCTCTCCAGCCTCATTCGACGATTGGATAGAACATCCTAACATACCGGGCACGCCTGAATCGAAGGAGTGCATATATGAAACCATTAAAATAAGCCGTCCGTCTACACCTGATACAAAGGATGATCAGCTGGACGGATACAATTTCTCAAAGGATCAACAAGATGGGGCTAGACAAGAAGAGTTAGCAAAGTTGCAAGATGACGAAATTGTGGAGATCCTTTGCAATGGACGGTGCTTATCGCCAGGCCGGGTTGTGCAGGATCGTTCGGAATTGATTCCATCACCAAGGATACAGGAAAATGGTATGCTTTTCTATTTTTTTCCAAATTCCTCTTAGTCCGCCAATTGTAGACTAGTTTAGGACCACACATTCTGGCTAAGTTTTCGACGCCAGTTTCTATTTAGGAAAGATTGATCCATAAATTATACCGAGAATCTTTAACTAGTGTATATGAAATAGGTAAAAGGTATAGATTAGTACGAACGTTAATCAAATCATGAGAGTATAATTTTCTAAGAGTATTGATAAATTTAGCCTCAAAAATCGTAGTCATTACTTTCGTCCCAACTCACCATTTCCAAATAATAATACATTAATATTATTTTATCTTAAGTATGTTAAATGCCTAGTAGTTCCCATTAATCACTTAAACACTATGCATAAGAGAGAGCATAAACAAGTGGCAATTTAAGTGACAAGGTATTCTTGTCAAGAATAGAATTTTAATGGACTATGATGGTAGCGCATAACATTCATATGTCAAGTAAAATAGTAGAAAGCTCATAAAGAGGATATCAAAAAGTAAGCAGTGCATAACATGTCAAATAAAATCATTAATCAAATTAGAAATTGTGTTCTATCTTTTTAATTTACATACAAGATAAATGCATTTAATATGGGACGACACTGTCTAGCTAGACTTGAGTATGATAAATACGCAAATAAGTAAAGCAGAGATATCAAGGGATATTGATGTTATAATAGCACTCCAGTGTAAAATTAGTTACATAGATTGCACAAACGAGTAATTCTGGCCTTTTTGAAGAAATTATTCACAAATCAATCGGTAATTCGTAGTTAAGAACTTTATTTTTAGTATATAAAAGGAGTTTCTAGTCTACCAGCAAATAAGTATTATGAGATGTATTCACCCAATTTCGTTTCGAAACTCTACTTAAATACGAAAAATAAATAACGTAGTCGATTGTCATAGCAATTATACGTTTGCTTCGTCAACAATGGGAAAAGACCTGTCCTTCCTTGAAATTCACATTTGCTCTGTGACCCAACGGCATTAGTGGCAATGTGGCCGAGTTGTTAACGTGTCAAGCTTCCATTCTTCACTGTCACGGTTCGACTCCGTCTGGTGGTGTTGATAAGACCGATGAGAGGTCGAAGCTGCAGTCCACTGGTGCCTGAATGAGAACCATTTCTGGGAAAGCAAGGCTATTCAATGCATACGTCAGCTCAACTCATATTATTGCGGGAAAGTACTTCTTCTACCAGTCCTTCATCACCTTAAATGAGATTGGGTGAATACATTTCATATTAGGAACTTTACTGACTTAGTCAATCATTAGTTTACCTTATGGGAACTCAGGGTATTCAGGTTCTCAGCAAACTCTAGCTTCTGGTGCTGACTGTCGTTCGTCTCAATATATATCTCTAACTAAAAATAATATATATACGTATTTATTTATTTATTTATGCATGTGCATGCATATGTATGTAAAGACAAAAAATCAAAGGGTAGAAGTTTGTAATACTTTGCAAAACTTTCAAAATAGAAACACTTAATAAATAAAATAGAGACACAGTATTTCTAGGATAAATAAAAAAAATAGCAAGCTTAACTTGGGTCTAGCAAGAAGGAGCTCATGCGAACGCGCCCATTAGTACAATGACATATGACATTTTGATTCATGTCGCCTTCTTCTGAGTTTAGTCTATAGCTTCACTGTAAAAATTGAGAGTCGCTAAGTAGGCTGGATCACAAATTTGCTAGAGGAATCAAAATGCATTTTTTATTTTACGCAACATAATTATAGCTTTCATAAAAAGTCAAGATCACTTTGTTCTTAAAACCTTTTCTGTAATTTTTGCTTCGAGATTTATAGTGCAAATCATATTAGCGACCGTAAGTTCTGAACATTCTGTAATGGCTTAAATCCAGAAAAGCCATTAAAAG